GACTAAGGCATCCAATGGTATAAGCATCGAAATACATAGATAAACAATGACTAAAGCATATAATTATACAAAAGAAAGAAGATGTTATAAGCATAAGTAGAATTCATATCCTTAACAACGAAGTTGAACTAACAACACATAGAAGAGAATGATAGCACCACCATCTATGATGAAGGCATCTCCATAGTTGTACCTCCTATGAATGCTAATTCGGCCTCCTACAAGTTGAGTGACTCCTTGGCCGAGTTCTACATAGTGGTTTTGTGTGTGTTTGCGTCCTCCTGAATTCTCTAACCTGGCCCTTTATTTACTCGGATTGCTTGACTTTAGGACGAAACAATACATAAACACATACTAGGTATATTATAAGCACATTGATCAAATAGTTATGATTGCTAAAAAAAATATGGCAAAACAATACTAAAGATGCATTAATACAAGGGAGAGAGACTAGCAATCTCTCAACGGTAGCATGAATAATGGCGATGGATTTGGTGGGTGGGAGGTACAATCATGAGCTTCGATGGCCGCTCGACGTGAGGTGCAAGGGACAGAGACAAACTGGGTGGAAGTTTTGGGTCGGTTGGTTGGGTTACCCAGTTTGAGTGACAAATCGTTTGAACCAGTACTTTCCGGCTATCATATTCTTACAAGGCGGTCTGAACTGCCATCTGAATCGAGTTAGAAACCTGTTATCTAGTTTCCTACTTGAACCGATCAGTTCGATATAGTTTTAACAATGTTGGATTGAATAGTAGTTTTAGGCCAAGAGTAATTATAGACTTAAATGGCCCATGGAATAAGATCTTGGTCATCACTTTACTACTTCACCAATCTAGAGTACACTTGTTCTTAATAGTTAGTCTCGTTGACAAATAGGTTTTATAATTTGAGTTGAATTTCGATGCTATCAGTAGCAAACAGAACAAAGAGGAGGAATTTTGGTCGAATGAAATGTGATTTATGAAACCTATGTCATTGATAGAGGTCACGACGTAGCCTATTGTCAAGAACCAGTTGCTCCCAATAACTCGAGTTGTTGGGATCAACTGGTTCTTGACATGATATCAGAGCCTTCTGTGACCGAGAGATCTTGTGTTCGATTCCCGATGACCCCCATTTGTTAAGCACATGGTATTCTTGTCTTTAGACCTGTGCAAACTTCAAGCCCTTGTGAGTGGCTTTCGTTTGAGGAGGCGTGTTAGTGTTGTGGTATATGACGATTGAACCTCTCTCAACAACTCGAGTTATTAAGACCAACTTATTCTTGACACATATGTCACTATCCTAGTTAGACATACAAGTACAACAACAAAAATCTCACTTGCCACATCAACAAGTATGTCACAGAGCTGAGAAGTGATATAACCACGTCATGGCGTTGACAAGGAGTCCATGTCGTTATAGTATGCCAAGTAAAAAAAATGATTTTCTCTTTAGCTAGCTTGTACTGAGATTATACCGAATAACAAATAGTAAAAATACTAAATAGTCATGTACCAATTACCAAACAAGTATTTGAGTTGCACCCACCACCATCTCATCTCGTTGTCCCTGGCGAAGGTAGAATTTGAATGAATGTATTGTAACTACCCTATCCTTTTTTGTATTGTAAATATATAAATATTGAATGAATGTAATTAATTTAATAATATCTAAATAATTTATTTTCATATAAAAAATAACGACTAATACGATCAGTATTTTTCATAAACAAACATGACTAGTTTTCCTATTCTGGAAGAAACACAAAATACATTCATTGTCTACACTTTTAAGTAAGTCATTTCCAATGGATCTCACTCAACAACCATTAGCAAACTGGTCGTGAGTTCAACTTCGAAGTTCGTTCTAGATATAGCTTAAAATTGAAAATATTTTATCTACACTTGGCGTCAAAGCTAGTAGAATTGGCTTTGCCACTGGACTGCTTCAAGATTGCTAGGTAAATAATTGAATAGGCATATAAAGAAAAGAGATCTATTCCCATTGAGATTGGTTTATTGTATAATAAATTAATTTATTGTCAATTTATAATCAAATAATGAGTTGCGATATGGTAAAGAAATTCATTGTACTGGTTGTTGTATTCCATCTTTCGGGAGATTGCCCAATAGGCTGCCTCCGCCTTGTCCCACCATTCCCTTTCGAGAAATTGATTTTTCTTTACCATGCCCCCAGTGGCCATTCGGGTGTACATGGGTCGGGTGGTTCGGGTTTAACCATTTTAATTACCCGACCCATGCACTACGGTTTGAGAATTATCAAACCCAAACCCACCCAAAAAAATTTAAACCCTACGGTTTGTTTCTAATTGGGTTGGGTCGGGTTAGCAATATTTTTAAGTAAAATCTCAACCAACATAAAATATATAATTATTATACATCATAAAAATATTTTATAACTAATTAAAATTTTAAACAAATAAACCGAGGTGAAAGGTATCAAAATTCACAAATGTTGTTTGAATTTTAATAAAATGTGATTTACTGTCTAGTTTTTTCACGCTATTTGTTGAAATAGACTAAAAAAGTTATAAACAAACGCATCTATAATATGTTATTCTATTAAAATTGTACACAAGAAAAAGGATTACGTGAATCATAACTATATTCAATTTATGTCTAAACTTTAAGTCGAAGAATGCATTAGATTAGAGAGACCATGATAGAAAAATATGGCGAAATATCTTAATTTTCTCATAAGTATTGCTATATACGACATAAATATTTTTTAGATACGAACTCATACTAATAGTTGGAACACGGGTTGGGTCGGGTTCCACGGGATGTGCAATCCAAAATCCAAACCCAACCCAAAAGAGGCGGATTGTACAAAAGAAAATCCTTACCCAACCCAAAACCTTCGTTTTAGCGATAAATACGGATGGGTTGGGTCGGGTTGGACGGGTGGGTCGGTTTACGGGTGTGTTTGTTCACCCCTCATTCCTCGAGGAAGAGTAGTAGCGCACTAGTGGTGAGTGCGTGTTCAAGCTATTTGAAATCATATTCATCTTTCATTTGCACTCTTTTCTTTCTCCATTCTGTCTTTCTAAACATCTCTCCCAATCTCAGTCGCCTCCATTCTATTTGAAATCGCAAATCCAATTGCTCCAATCTCGTACCACAAGTGAAGGAAACAAAAGAAACGTTGCCGGCAGGGAATTCGAGGGAAAAAGCGACAACGAGAGATCGAAGATTGGGCTTACAACCAAGATTGATTGTCTGTTCACAGACCTCTGATGATCGCTCGATGTCGGTGGCTAGGGTTGGGAGAAAGATTAAGAGGACAATGGGCTGCACGAGTCTATTAATCCGGCTAATTTCTTGGATTTTCATTTTTCTCTCGTTTACTTTATTTATGTAGGGTTAATGATTGAACACAGGCAACCAAGCTGAAACTTAAATTACTTCCAATGCAATTAACCTTGTTATACATTATAAAATGGTTCAAACTTCAAACCTCGATTGGACCATTAAATTTCAATGGCTGAAACCTGTTTGACACCTTGGGAAAGAGTGAGAAAGAGGGGTGTACATGGGTCGGGTGGTTCGGGTTTAACCATTTTAATCACCCGACCCATGCACAACGGTTTGGGAATTATCAAACCCAAACCGACCCAAACAAATTTAAACACTACGGTTTGTTTCTAATTGGGTTGGATCGGGTTGGCGATATTTTTAAGTAAAATCCTAGCCCAACATAAAATATATAATTATTATACATCATAAAAATATTTTATAACTAATTAAAATTTCAAACAAATAAACCGAGGTGAAAGGTATCAAAATTCACAAATGTTGTTTGTATTTTAATAAAATGTGATTTACTTCAACATATGTCTAGTTTTTTTCACCATATTTGTTGAAATAGGCTAAAAAGGTTATAAACAAACGCATCCATAATATGCTATTCTATTGAAGTTGTACACAAGAAAAAGGATTACATGAATCATAACTATATTCAATTTATGTCTAAACTTTAAGTCGAAGAATGCATTAGATTAGGGAGACCATGATAGAAAAACATGGCGAAATATCTTAATTTTCTCATAAGTATTACTATATACGACATAAATATTTTTTAGATACGAACTCATACTAATAGTTGGAACACGGGTTGGGTCGGGTTCTACGGGTTGTGTAATCCAAAATCCAAACCCAACCCAAAAGAGGCGGATTGTACAAAAGAAAACCCTCACCAAACCCAAAACCTTCATTTTAGCGATAAATACGGGTGGGTTGGACGGGTGGGTCGGTTTGCGGGTGTGTTTGTTCACCCCTAAGAAAGAGATTGATGAGTGTAAGTAAGGTGGAGGAAAATTGGGGAATAAGCGGCGGTTGTTTCAAGTAGGGGTGGCTATACGGTCCGGTCCGGTTAAATTGGCCCAAATTGATCCGGTCCAGTTCGGTTTTTTTGAAAATATAAGGACCAAAGATTGGATTGGATACAGTCCGGTCTTGATCCGGTCCGGTCTTAACCCGGTCCGGTCCCAATTTGATCTTGATTTTATATTGAGATTGTGGGAATTTGAGTGGCCTAAGGCCTAAAATGGTGAGGAGTTGGTTAAGTTTTGTACTAAGTGCAAAGGTTTGTGACCGTTTATGCAAATTACCCTTAAGTTTTGGATGTTAAGCTCTCTTATCCGGTCTTTATCCGGTTTTTTACCTCAAATCTAAGCCCAAAGATTGGATTGGATTGTTTACTATCCGTCCCGGTCCGGTCTCAGTCCGGGTTATACGGTCCGATTTCCGGTTTTTTATCCGGTCCCGGTCCAAATAGCCAGCCCTAGTTTCAAGGGTTTATTTAGATTATATATAGTATGTAAAATTATAAAATGATACTTTAAATTATTAATTATCTAATTTTAAATTGTTACGTTCTACGTATATATCTTTATAATATTAATAAAACAACTCAAGTAGGTTATACTCTGATTGGACCATTCAACTTCAAATTACCTAGTTGTCCGGTTCAATGACTGAAATCACGTTGACAACCTTGCTTGACACTTGACCTATCAAAAATGTCAAATGGCATTTTACACGAAGAACTTCTAATCAGGGTAAATTTCAAGTTTGGTCACTAGATTTAACCAAACGAGTTATGTTAAGTCACTGGAAACAAATATAAATTTTAGTCTCTAAGATTAGTTTAACAGTCCAAGTTTGGTCTTTCCTAGTCAGTCAAATTTAACACAAAAAAATACTAAACTCAACCCTCCACATCATCAAGACCCGTTGCGTCATCTCGACCCTCTTACAGAGTAACAATCCAAGTTTGGTCAACACTTAACGGACTTCATTAACGGAGTTGAACGGAGAACGGAGAGTGACCAAACTTGTACCGTTAAACTAATCTTAGTGACCAAAATTGATATTAATTTTTTCCAATGACTAAACATGACACGTTTTAGTACACACCCAGTAACCAAACTTGGAATTTACTCCTAATCAAGTTGCACATTTGAGGGCACATTTGAGAACTTCTAACCAATGATTTTTCTAGTCAAGACACTAGTATAACTGTGTAAGTACTACTTGAGAAAGGAAAGGAAATGCAGACTGTGCAAGAAAAGAACGAACGTATGACAACAAAAAAACAGACAGCAACAGCATGTGCATGTTTTTCGCAACATGTTCCCAACTTAAGCGTCAACCCAAATAGCAATACTTGCAATTATTGTGTCAAACCCTTTCTGCCATTAGTAACTGTTCAAGTTCCTCTCTTCTCCTCTCCAAATCCTGCAACCATTGCCACACAAGTTACGTCGATGAAACTGACAATAAAGCAAAAGATTTTCTGGAGAAAATAATGGCTGGTAACTGCGCTTGGCAGCTTACCTCCAAATCTTTGGTTGCCTGTTCCCTCGTTTGTTCCCTCGTTAGTTCCCTCTGCTGCCGAACACGTTTGAGCAAGCCAATACAAAGAATTCCCTGCACATTGACATCAAAATCAAGGCCCAGTAAGTGTACTTTAACATTTCCAATAAACAGGAACACATAAAGAGATACCAGCGATTTCAAATTCTGAAAGTAGATGTGGTAAGAATCTTTAGGACAGCAAAATTCAGAATAGCCAACTTGTTCCTGTAACTGATAATAAAGTTAAGGGAAGTCTCCGCTTGAATGGTGAAAGGTTGTCTTGAAAGATATGTACTCGCTGAAGAAATGTAGAGGAGAAGCTGTTCACAGAAGACTAGCTTCATGGTGAAAGGTTGTCTTGAAAGATATGAAGTACTTCTCTTTAAGGAATTCAAAACTCGTAAGGACTTAAGATCGAAATTCAAGTGGACGATATTTTCACAAGTGCCCCTACTCTGCTTTGTAAACCACAGAAGTAAGATTCGCCACCTTGCAGGGCCTTTGCAACTTCAATAACACCAGGTCATAAACATCATCGTAGATGTATGTGAAGACTTAAAATTTTTTGTGAAAGCAAATCTCTGTCAGCATTAGCCAATTGCTTCCAGCATAGGCTAAGTTGGAAACGATTTGTTCTAGCATTATCCTAAACTAAGAAAGGCAAGGTGTGATTCATCAGCGGGCTAATCCAAAAGGTTTAGATTTTTAGCATCTTACCGAAACAAGATAGACTGCACCACAACCAATGAGAATGTAGCTTGCTATATTTTGAAGAAGAATAAGCTCCGTGGGGTTCCGATGGTTAGGAAAAGCCCTCGTCATAACTGCAACACTGAAGACAAAACCAAAGTGCGTCAACTGTAAAACTGTAAACAAGAACGGGAAAAATTTACTCAAATTCTATTACTTTATTTTTTAATGCGTTTCTTAGTCGGACATGAGACATACAAGATTTGCAGCATGCCCCTGCCTGCCCAATACTCTAGGACCTATAAGAACACAGCAAACAGTGAGACGGTATTATAAATGTGAAACTCTCAGAACAGATAACTCATATTATCTTTTAACTAATTTTACATGGACCAACAGTAGTAAGAAAAACTATCACAGTAACAGGTAATTTGTTTCTAGTGGATCCATTCATTCACGAATAATGGTCTCCAATAATGTGGCATAAAATAAGGTTGTTAGGAAACTAGAGATTCATGAAGGGAGGTGATCATGAGCAAATGCGACAGCAAACACCAGAAAAGCCAGATGAAAGCCTTTTAGCAGCACCGAACTGACCATACTGTACTGTACTATCTCCCTGAGGAGAAGGTGATACAGAAGTTGCTATACTAGTTACGTCGAACGCTTATTCTGCGATGATCACTTACTACACGAAGAGAACCAAAAGAAAGACTAAATTTTTCTGATAACGAGCCAAAGCTGGAAAACCTCTTACGTTACCCAATCTAGAAGCTATGGAAGATGCCTGAAGCTTTCAAAGACAAGAAAACCATACACTGATATTCTTTGTAGGGATGCTAGCTTCATCCACGCTGCAGATTCTTACAATTTTGCACAAAGATTATGATAGGCCTTTCACTTCTAAGTTCTAACTCCCTCACAATGCCATTTGCCACTATCAGCTGTGCTAGTTCCCAAAGTCCAAAGAACAGTGCAATCTACCCTAAAACCATGAAACCCATACTTGCAAGAAAGCAGACAAATAATGATGGGAAGACATTTTGATGAGCGAAACAGATACATGGATTGAAAAAAGAAAGCAGTGGCAAAGGAAGCACAGGAAGAAAGAAAAACGAAACCTTCCAGAACTTGAAAATGAATCCCCATTCCGTCTCCGCTAAGATCACGACAAACGCAATTACCACCGCGTAACACCTGAAGATTCCATCGAATATCTACAAACGCAAAAAAAATTAGGAAAGAAAAAGAAGAGACCGTCATAGCTGCACCAATCAAGACCAGCAGCCAGAATTTCTGTAGATCGGCTGGTCACCAAACGTTCAGGATGCAGTAGTTTTCAGCAACTTACATCGGATCCGTCCTTAAAGGAGCGAACGGCGGAGAGAATGTTGACAGCGACGCACAGAAGGGCGGTTACAGCAGTAACGAAGCTAAAGCATCTACACACCACCAAGAACGGGTCCGGTCGAGAACTCAGCCGGCCGCTGGACGAAAGTCGAGGCACCGCCGCATTCTCTCCTCCGCTTCCACCTTCTCCTCCGTCTTCATTCCTCGCCATCTCAGAAGCCGATTTCTTACCCTGTCATTTTTCTTTTTGATTTATGGGCTGGGCTGCTAGGAAATTAGAAAGAAAGAAGTGTTGGAAGTTCGCAGTTTTGGTTTGGGTGGTGGGGAAGCGTAGGATGCTAACCCCCAATTTATTAATTAAGCAATCTATTAACATTAGATCCAGCCGACATAAAATATTTCGTTTTATGACTTGGGTTTGTCGACAATTAATGTGATTATGTGATAAAAGGAGGCCCAAACAGTTTTTAATGTCATTGTTAAAAAACGAGGCACACATGCGTGTGTTGTGGATTAATTCTCTAATATTATACAAATATTTATATATGGATGACCAACCACGTTTTTTTTTTTTACAGAAATCTGCAAAATGACCAACCACGTTAGATGTTCATTTGGGAGTTACTAACTCCTATTCCTATATGGCAGCATATTCCGCGTGAAGGAAACAATGCCGCTCATGTCATGGCACGCCTTGAGGTAGGATGGAATGATTGGATGGTCTAGTTTGATAGTCCACCGTCTTGTGTAGTTGACCAGTTACAGCTGGATAATGTAACCGCCGACACTGGTTAATAAGAGCAATCGCAGATTCCTATAAAAAAAAAAACTCATATTCCTATATCATTATCTCTAATCCATATGCATTGGTGTAAGTAGGGGTGGGCATTCGGTCGGTTCGGTTCAAACCGAACTGAAATTATGCATACCGGGTCCCCGAATTCTATCAAACATCAAACCGAATTTGAACTGGGTTATAATTCGGTTCGGTCAGTTCAAACCGAATTATAATTCGGTTCGGTTCGGTTTTTCATACAAAACCGAATTTGTGAGGTTTGTTTGTATCTTCTCTTTTTTAAATTATTTTTCACCCTTAATGTAAACAATAAATATGCATATCAATGATAAAATCAAACATTTCAACACATAAGTCATAAAACACTAACATGATTCAAATATTTAAGTCTCATAATAAGTAGAAACATAAAAATCCACCATTTGGAGCTTGCAATTATAATAATTCGGTTTTTCGGTTCGGAATTCGGAAATTCGGTTCGGTCGAAAGGACCCTAGTTTCCGAAATATGCCCTTTTCTCTTCCGAATTCCGAACCGAATAACATTAATTCGTTTCGGTTCGGTTTATATTCGGTTCGGTTCGGTTTTACCGAACCGTATGCCCACCCCTAGGTGTAAGAATGTAGTGGTTACCAAAGGGTGTTTATAAATAGAGCACACTAATGTATCATAAATGAAGTATGAATAAGAAAAACTATTCCCCTCTCTTCTCTTGTGTCTTTCCCTCTCTAATATTCTCTTGTAGTTGTTTATATTTTTCATTAGTTTCATAACACGTTATCAGCACGAGACTCTTCCTTTTGAAAAGGTTAAATCCATAATTGTTCTCCTCAAGGTATGTCGATTCTCCCAAATTGTTTCTTTTATTGTCATATTTCAATTTACATATCATTTCCTTTGTTAATCAACACATAAAATATTTGTTTGAGAATGCAAAGGTATAATTTCCTTCTTGATAATTTTTTTTCCCCGTCAATCATAAAATACTTAGAACCCTTGACCGGAGATTTATTCAATGCTCGTTTTGCTGATTGTCATTTTGACGAATAAGTTTTTCCAACATTAGGGGGTGAGAACAAACAGCTGGGAAAAGATATTTGTTGGAATGAATTATCATTATCTCACCTTGATCCTCGTACTAGACAATGTGAACTGGAAGTTCAAAAGATAATTCATTTACAAGGTTTAGCAAACCAACTGCCGGATTCTTTTACTGACCAGAAGAGAGTGACAAAGTCACACATACCAGCTGTAAATGCTCCAATGAAAGTTGATGTCCCTGTTGGACAATCTGAAATTGCAAATGAATCTAAACCACGAATGAAGCGTGGTAGACCAGTAGGTTCCAATGATACAAATCTTCGAAAAAGAAAAATTGTTATGAATCAAGTTGGTCAATTCGAGGATATGAAAGCTCAAGAAGAGTCCCCAAGCATAACTAAGATTGTAGTTCCCGAAGAACATCAGGTACCTGAAAGTTTTGATAATGAAGAGATCTCAATCAATTATGTCTTGGATGGAAAATGTTGGAACATAAGTGAAATAATCGTCGACGATGTTTTTGCTTACGCTGCAGCATTGAGTGTGATGAATGAAAATGAGGATCATGAACCAAGATCTATTGATGAATGCAAGTCAAGAGATGATTGGCCAAAGTGGAAAGAGGCCATTGAGGTAGAATTAAACTCGCTTTCAAAGCGAAAGGTTTTTGGACCGGTAGTCCTTACACCAGAAAACGTAAAGCCAGTGGGATACAAATGGGTTTTTGTGCGGAAAAGAAATGAAAAGGGTGAAGTCGTGAGATATAAAGAACGTCTTGTCGCACAAGGATTCTCACAGACACCTGACATTGGTTATGAGGAGACATACTCCCCTGTGGTGGATACAACTACGTTTCGATACTTGATTAGTCTGCAGTTCGAGAAGGACTAGATCTGTGTCTAATGGATGTTGTGACAGCCTATTTGTATGGATCACTTGAGAATGATATATATATATATGAAACTCCCTGAAGGATTCAATTTGCTCGAAGCAAACAAAACACATTATCGAGAAAATTTTTCTATCAAATTGAACAAATCCTTGTATGGATTGAAACAATCTGGACGAATGTGTTACAATCGTCTTAGTGAATATTGATGAAAGAAGGATACAAGAATGACCCTATTTGTCCATGTGTTTTTCTAAAGAGATCGGGTAGTGAGTTTGTTATAATATCAGTTTATGTTGATGCCCTAAACATCATTGGAACTTCCGAAGAGCTTCCAAAAGCAGTTGATTGCTTGAAGAAAGAGTTTGAAATGAAAGATTTAGGAAGAACAAAGTTCTATCTTGGATTATAGATTGCACATTTGAAGGATAGTATTTTTGTGCATCAAGAAGGATATGTTGAAAAGGTGCTTAAGCGATTTTATGTGGACAATTCACACCCGTTGAGTAATCCAATGGTTGTAAGATCACTTGATGTGAAAAGAGATCCATTTAGACCTCGAGAAAGTGATGAAGATCTGCTTGGCCCTGAAGTGACATATCTTAGTGCGATAAGAGCATTAATGTATCTAGCCAGTCACACGCGACCCGATATATCGTTTGCTATGAATATATTGTCAAGATATAACTCTTCTCCCACTAAAAGGCATTGGAATGGAGTTAAACATTTACTCTGTTACCTTCGAGGAACGATGGATATGGGCTTGTTCTATTTGAGTGCATCGAAGTTGGATTTAGTGGGATATACAGATGCAGGATATCTCTCATATCCCCACAATGGTAGATCTCATACAAGATATTTGTTCACTTGTGGTGGTACAACCATTTCGTGGTGATCCACAAAACAAACTATAACAGCCACATCATCCAATCATGCTGAAATCTTAGCAATTCACGAGGCAAGTCGTGAATGTGTTTGGTTAAGATCTATAATTCGACACATAAGAGAATCGTGTGGACTATCTCTAGGAAAAATGATCCCGACGATAATGTATGAAGATAATGCAACATGCATTGCTCAATTAAAGGAAGGATACATTAAAGGAGATAGAACAAAACATATTCCACCCAAGTTCTTTTTCACTCATGATCTTCAAAAGAGTGGTGAAATAATTGTTCAAAAAGTCGTTCAAGTGAGAATCTAGCAGATTTATTCACCAAGTCACTCCCGACGACAATCTTTGTAAAGCTTGTTCGTGAAATTGGAGTTCGACGACTCAAAGACCTGAGCTGATGTGGTCACGAGGGGGAGCATATACGCGCTGCACTCTTTTTCCCTTAACCATGGTTTTTCCCACTAGGTTTTCCTGGTAAGGTTTTTAATGAGGCAGCATGAGATAGCGTAATAATGCAATCTAGTGGTCATCCAAGGGGGAGTATTATGTAAATATTTATATATGGATGACCAATGGCCCACCACATTAGATGCTCACTTGGGAGTTACTTGTAACTCCTATTCCTATATCATTATCTCTAATTCATATGCATTGATGTAAGGATGTAGTGGTTACCAAAGGGTGCTTATAAATAGAGCACACTATTGTATCACAAATGAAGTATGAATAAGAAGAACTATTACCCTCTCTTCTCTTGTGTCTTTCCCTCTCTAATCTTCTCTTGTAGTTGTTTATATTTTCCATTAGTTTCATAACATCTAATTCATTTTTTTCAAGAACCAGTTGCTCCCAATAACTCGAGTTGTTGAGAGAGGTTCAATCATGGATCATATACCATACACTAACACGCCCCCTCAAACGAAAGCCACTCACAATGGTTTGAAGTTTGCACAGGTCCGAATACCATGTGCTCTGATACCATGTCAAGAACCAGTTGATCCCAATAACTCGATTTGTTGGGAGAGGTTCAATCGTGGATCATATACCACAACACTAACACGCCCCCTCAAATGAAAGCCACTCATAAGGGCTTGAAGTTTGCACAGGTCTGAAGACAAGAATACCATGTGCTTAACAAATGGGGGTCACCGGGAATCGAACTCAAGACCTCTTAGTCACAGAAGGCTTTGATAACATGTTAAGAACCAGTTGATCCCAATAACTCGAGTTGTTGGGAGAGGTTCAATCGTGGATCATGTACCACAACACTAACACACCCCCTCAGCCACTCATAAGGGCTTGAATTTTGCACAGGTCTGAAGACCAGAAAACCATGTGCTTAACAAATGAGGGTCACCGGGAATTGAACACAAGACCTCTCGGTCACAAAAGGCTCTGATACCATGTCAAGAACCAGTTGCTCCCAATAACTCGAGTTGTTGGGAGAGGTTCAATCATGGATCATATACCACACACTAACAATTTTCACTCTATTTTATACTTCGGAAAGTTATTTACAAGTCTTGAATCTTAACTAAAGAAAACAATACCCTCTTAAATATACTGCTTAGAGGGACTCTATCCTCAAATAAGTCATAATATCAAGAAGTTTGCACTAAACTCCCTCTATAAGGTAAGATTCTCACTCAATACAAAGCAATGAATCGACTCACTCTCGTGCAATTGATGTCATACTTTCCAATCAATGATGCTCTATTAACCTAACCAAATAT